TGGCGAGTAAGACGGATGATTCAAAACTTCATGTCCTAATTCATACAAAAGTTGGACAATTTGTTGCACAACGAGTCCAATCGACGTAGTATTTGGGCGTCGTTAAGTTCATGGAGCAAACATTATCGACCTTTGTTTTTTTCCTCCGATTACGGATGATCCGAAACTGTGCTTACAGATGGCCTAAATTCATGAACAAACCCTCTACAGTTATTTTTGAGTTGGCTTCTATTAACGCTTTCAAACGATCATTTCAACTTCCATCTTACCCACGACCTTCCTCAAGCGTTTCATCACCGCTGCTGGGCTTAACAAATCAGCATTGTCCTAGCCTTGCTGATGGCCAAGTTTGATATTGTAAAACATGTGCGTGATTGATCTTGTCTATAGTTACTTATCAAGAAAGAAATTCAGAATTAAACGTGAAGGTGAGAAAAGTTATAAAAAAGTGTTCTTTCTAATTGGTATCACATTCTAACCTTAATCTGTTTTTCGTTTATCAAATTCGCATTTTTTGTGATGACAAAAAATTAGCATTATTTTCCAAACAAGCTAATAATCTATGGTTAGAGCTTGTAGCTTGGTTTATGAAATGTGAGACCAATGAGATGATCATCAGCTCACTCCACAGATAAACAGCAGTAACAGTAGGAATGTTTGGTCCACTGGGAAAAGAAAGCTTTCTTAATGCAATAAAACCTTCACAGAAGGCCTGAAGTGGTAAATTTAAGTAAGCCCTGACCTACTGTGAATCTTAAGTTTGGAAGAGATTAGGGATTCTGCAAGCAAAAGAGCTTAAAGGAATTTTCATTTGCTTTAAGGCAAAAATCAAGCATTTTCAAAGAGAGCAAGTTTATTCTAAAGGTCGAAAATATCTTTCGAAAAGTCCGCTTGAAATTAGAATATGGCGCAATTTTTTTAGGTAGTCCATTTTTTGAAGAAAACACATAACTCTTTCCTAAGATAGTATGTATGCCGATAAATGCAGATTTATCAAAACTCCAAACTCATCAACTTAAAACGATTTTCAAAGGCCACTTTAAACTAATACATGCGTTCCTTTTGAGCTCTATCTTTATTCTATAAGATTTGTTGAAATTTCTTATCTATGAAATGTTTACCATTACGTGGGGCTTATGCAATAAATGCCTCAATCTATAAAGCATTTTGAATCTTGCTAATTCTTGCCAGATAAACTCTACTTTTCTTTATTTCACCTATAGATTTCAAGTTGCAAAGGTTATCGTTGACACTCGTACCATGGTTGTGAAACTATGTTTCAGTGTTGCGAAAGCCTTCACAAGTCGACGCGGCCATAGCGATCAGCTTGTCTATTTCATTCCATGCGACTACTCCTATAGGTTTGTTTAGGGATATATTTTGATTGCAGTTTTTGAGAGTCCTGTTGTAGGATTAGCGCGAGCTCATGAATAGAACAAATAAATTAGGTTCAGGACCACAAAAGTTCATAATTCATCATACAATTAGCATTCATTGCGACTACTCCTAAAGGTTCATAGCAACATTTGGACTCTCTGCGTAATATGCTCTGCCTACCAAAAGGATTTTCACAGGAAATATTTCTTCCAGAAAAGGAGATGAAGATGCTAAGAACTTTATTGCGGAACTTCAAAGATCGAAGGTGGGAGACAACTTCCTTATTGTCTCGAATACGAAAACCTCTGCAGACACCGCTGAAGCATACAGTTTAGAAGTAAATAATGTAGTAGGAAACGAGCAAGAAATTCCTAAAAAAATTGCCGATTTTGGTGAGGATTGGATGTGTAATGCAGAATGACCGTTTAGATAGAGCACAGATAGTTGATTTAGTTCATGATACGAGGTCCACGCATAGACCGCAATCAACAACACCATCAGGAACGTCAGCTAC